ACCAACTAAATTTATAGTTGGTTAATAAATTAATGAGCCCAACTAAGATGCATTTCTAAATTTTTAAAATGTCATATGGTTTATTTATTTTTCATTGATTCACGATTTGTGTAATATCATTAAAGACTTTGATAATTTTAGAAATGTAACTATGACGTGTCGTTTTATCAATGATTAGTTCGCATGTTGCAGATGCATCATATATGTTGCTTAAATTTGAATTCACATTAGGGGTGCTCATGGTTCGGTTAGTGGGCTTATTTTTAGAATTGAACTAGTATCATCGGTTTCTGAAAAATCAGTAACTAAAACTGAACTGAAGCCGATCGGTTAACCAATTGATCGGCTTGGTTAACCATCCTTCAGTTTTTTGGTTTTTTATATTTATAATATATCTTATAAAAAAATTATAAAGATATAATAAAATCAGAAATATATAAAATATTATATTTTAAATAATAAATAATATATTATATTATAAATATATAATACATATTTATTAATTCATAATATATGGAAAATATAAAATATATATAATATACGTAAGTATGCAAAAAATATATAGAATTATATGTATAAGTCGGTTTGGTTAATTATCGATTTTCTATATTAGTTAACTGAAACTAAATCAGTACTTTCAGTATTTTAAAAATACAGACCCGATCGATTTGATTAACCGGGTTTTTGGTTCGATTTTGATTATTTTTCGGTTTGATTCGGTTTTTCAGTTTTTCTTGCTCACCCCTAAACTACATCCCATCCATGTATTGAAAACATTTTTATTTCTGTAGAGCGCCAATGTGAACTCCCTAAATTTGTACGTTACAATTTGTAACCAACATCTCTCTCTACCTAAAACAATTTTCGGAATGCCCATTTGGGAGGCTGAGCTGAAGATTTAGCTTTGAAGCACTCTAGATGAACTATTCAAAGAAGTTGAAGCGGTAGTTGGGCTCTCCAAATTTTCTATCAAACATAGCGTATAAGCTATTCATAAAAGGCACATCACAAAAACCCAAAACCCATTGCACTTCAGCCCTCTCAAATGGGTACCCAAATTGACTGTGTCAGTCAGTCATTTGTAGAGCACTTCAAAAGAGCTGAACCAACTTAGTTGAATCTTCAGCTCAGCCCTCTTGAACAGGCTATAATTTGCATCAATGAGTTTGTGCATCACTTAAATTAGTGGCATGACAATTATAGTAAAATATTTCAATCAGCATCATATTTATTCTTCGTCTCTTTAAAGTGCCATGGCTCTCTGTTAGATAGTGAATACTATTCTTTTCTTATTTGATTTTTTTTTTTATTTTCATTTTTAGTAATACCAATTTAGAAGTAAAACAAATAGATAAAACAGTTTTGAGGCCCAAATATTTGAGCTATTTTTTTTTGCCACTTTATTATGTTGTAAACTTTGTTTCCCTTGTCATACAAATGAACAAATTAAAAAGAATGGTAAACAAAATTTTCACTCTAATACGGGCAAAAACAATTGTGAAAATATTTTAATCTGAAAATTCTTACTTCCATGGTGAAATGAGAAAAAAAAAAAAAGTAAGATTGTTTAATCACGTGCGTATACAACACTCGTAAAAAAAAACGATCCATTACAATGGACATACCAAAAAGGACATGAGACAAAGTAAAAAAATAAATAAATGATTTAAACACTCATCATTTAACAATAGATATTGACTTTAAACAACAAAAAACAATTAAAAAGTGATGTTTTTAGGTTGTGTTTGGTTTCATAGGCATTTATGACTATGATATCAGAAAAGCACACAGCCAATCATTTAGCATCATAAATGAGGTGTTAATCAAAATTCATGGGGGGTGTTTTGATTGGTCAAAGCTCTTCCCACACCATGTCTTTTCGTTATCATGGATTTTCCCTATTGAAAAACATTACTTTAAAGGTGTTTTGTTGTTTGGTTTGATGTTTCAAGTAACATCCCATAAAGTTATCATCTACCTCATCTTACAATGCACTGCCAGTTCAGCATTGCATTTCAATAAATATTGGGGCGTTTGGAGAAACCAGAATTTGAAGTTTCCCCCAATGGCTAATACACACGCATCCAAGTATTTTTATTTTTTAATGTATATTTGATAAATATTGAACTCAAATAATGGTTTCATGTACAATAGATACCAATGCCTAAATTAGTGCTATTTTTTCCAATAAATACCCACGAAACCAGACATACCATGGTTAGACAAACGATGATTGCTTCTGTGTAAAAATAACAGCAACTAGTGTTGGAAATGATTCAACCATAAGCATGAACGACCAATATAAAATTATAAATAAAGAAATTAAAATTGTAGAATGTATGGCATTTTGTCCATCAATTGGAAGTAGGGAAAAACGGTTCAAAGGGCAAAAAGATATTGAACATTAGACAGGACGGCTTCATGTCACTATCGTTGTTTCTAATGTCATTTATTTTGTCGTTGCAAATGTCGGTTTGTCCGTTCAAATACTCTTATTGTTCTAAGTTGAAACGTCGTTCAATTAGAAACTACAAATCAGAGGGTTCATCGATCGGAAGGTTAGACTCTCTAGTACTACATGAATCTGGCATATGGCACCTTTATAGGGAAATGAGAGGAGGGAACAACTGCACTACGATGATGATGATGATGACAGAGAAACCACAATAAATAATAGTTCTATCAACTCACGTGACACCCAAATAACTTGGTATATTTTGAAACAGGTTGAAAATTTTGCTGATCATACGTCATTTGGCATGGGCTTTCCATCCATGTCCATTATCTACTCATCAAATGGACTTAGGCCACGTTCCGGAGTGAGGAGAAGCCAAAGGCCCAAAAAATATGGTGAAATTGTGAAAAAGCTTAGGGTTTTTTGCACCAAAGAAAGCCCATTTTGAGACAAAATTCCATTTGGCTTTTTACGTTTATAAGACGCTATTTTAAATAATAAGTTGATGGCCGACTAAAAAAAAAAAAAAGCACTTATTCAAAAAACTTGTTTTAGAGTGGTTTTTTAAAAGCTCATTTAGACAAAAGAAAAAAAATAAACACTCCCAAACACGGCTTAAAAATGTCATAAAACTGTGGTGGTTTTGAAAAACACAACCTGGGCTGTTTTAAAACTTCATGTGCATGACATGTGATAGCATGGGTGTGGGGTAAAACAGTAATTTGGATTGATGTTTTTTTAATTAAAAAGACAAAGAAAGGACTCAATGGGAAAATGTATTATATGCAAACAATATTTTAAAATTCGACCTGGAGGCCAAATAGTTTTTGCCTCTAGGTCATGGGTTACCAGTTTGATCATCTAGGTCAAACAGGTTTGATCATCTAGGTCAAACAGGTCAGACCATGTCACTTCAGCACACACACATAGTGTATAACTTTTGTTTGACTAAACTATCCCAATTTTTTAATTTGACCCCTCTCGAATTGCAAGGATAGAAAACAATCACTTTTTTTATCATTCAAATTCATTTCATCAAGTTTCATATTTAAGATATTAACTACCATTAATATTCATTGAATCATATTCTTGACTAGAATACCCCTCTAATTAAATCATATGCATTGAATTTGGTCCCTCTCTAATTGTAAGAATGGAAATGTAATTTAAACAACCAATTTTCTCATCATTCTAATGTCTCTCATTAAGTGTTATATTTAAGGTATTAACTCTCATTAACATTCATTCAATCATATTCTTGACTAAAAATACTCCTATTTTTTAAGGCGCCTCTCTAATTGTGAGGGTACAAAATATAATTTGAATGACTACATTTCTCTTCATTCAATTCCCTCTCATTAAGTCATATATTTAAGGTATTAACTAACATTCACTCATTGAATCCAATATTTAACTTATTATTTTTATCAATAAATTCTATCAATTAGATTTATATCTAATACTTTGGATGATATAAAATACATGCTTTTTAAAACTAACTAAAACTATTCTTCCATCTTGGTGGCAAGTAAGCAATTCAATCATCTAGGCCAAATGGGTCAATCCATTATTTAGTGCTAAGTGGCATATGAGTTGAGAATTGGGTTTGAATCATGATATTTGCATTTTTTTAGTAGAAATTGTGCATGTATCTGTGTATCAGCATACATTATTCCAGTGGTAGCATATCCTATATCATGGCCTTTGGATACTGATACATCTAATACCATACCTTTAAACATTTTCTTAAATCCCAACCTTATTATTATAATTGTTCCCATCTGACTACAATTTTATGGGCAACATCCTCCCTCTATCCCTGATCTCTCCCTTGTTATGGATTATCAAATCAAAGTAACCGAAGGGATTACAATTCATTTGATAGAAATAAGATAGAAACAAGAAGTTAAGGGAAAGTTCTATTTGTTTCTCTGTTGCTTCGTATTAAACCAAACACAGTATAAGCTAATAATGATTTACATTTCTATTACCATTAAACTTAATTGTGAATATTCTGTTTTAGTCCTGGTTATTAAAAACCTAGGTACTTAACCATAAATCTAATTCTGCATTTAATCCTTCTATGTTTTCATACAAATTAAATTACATATGTAAGCATCTTTTATTATTTAATGGAAAGGGCCATCATGTGATTACACATTTTCATTTGTATTTTAATGGGAATTCTGCGATGGGAGATGTTTTGAGCCTATTCTTCAAAAACAAGGAAAACTAACTAGTTTCAAAAAGTACTTAGTTTCCAAAAAAAATAAAAAATAAAAAACTAGTCTCAAAAAAGTACAGGGGAAGTTTTAAGTAATTTACTAAAAGTACAGGGAAAGTGCACTAGACAGTGGTGATATCAGGTATTCAGGTCTGAACAGTAGTGCTAAAAGGTCATATGAAACACAAAAGGGCACCTATTAGATGGACCGTCTGAATCCTCATCCAAGAGGAATAGTTTCAGATCAAGAGATCCAATATAAATTGGCCCCATCCAAGAGCTATGTCTTCAATTTTACCACTAAAATAAAGAGCCAAATCCAAAAGAGTAACTGTACACATGGTCATTGATATCTTTTTAAAAGAGATTAAAGTACAGTGACTATGGTACAATGAACTTGATGTCAGTGTCCGAGGACCTGCAAAATAAAGTTGGATGATAATGGAATGGAAAACTCAGGCATCAAGAAGACAACAGCATATACTTTCTAGTTAACCAAAGGTTGAACTTGTTATTAAGTCATACTTGTATGAAACTAAGAGTTCCATAGAGATCCACCTAATACTATCTCACTGTGATGCTGCTCACGTCCATGTGCTAGGGATCTAACCTCATCCATGCGCCACAAACCCTCCTCGTACTTGTACCACCTCATAAGACCTTCATCATTTATTGTGCGCTGACACATAATGCATGAATCTTCCTGACAAGTGATGAACTCACGAAGCCGCGAAGCTTTCTCTTTGATTGTCTCGTCAAGTTCCCCGAGTACTACTTTGGGTGATGGAGGTGGAGGCACTTCTATGAGGAGGCAATGAGAGATGTTGAGCACCTCTAGATGTTCCAAGCAGTCCAAGATAAGGATCAAGGCTTCCTTATATAACATTGAGCACCGTAAGCTTAAGACTTTCAGCTTGGGAAGGAAAGAAACTATAGAGGAAGCAAACAAGGTGTCACATGTACCCATGATCTTGAGTTCAGTGAAGTTCTTGCAACTTTCACTAATTTCCTTCATGATATAAGGGGGATAACCAATACTAGGCATTGTCAAAGATTCCAGCTCTTTCCACATGCGGACAGCTTTACAGATTCCAATCTTTGTAACTCGATTCCAGGCTGGTAAGACCAATCGTTTGAGCCTTGGACACCTGCAATAAGAAGAGTCATATGCGTCAATTTTCCATTTCCCCTGGAAAGAGTGGCAATTAAATTAACAGGATTCTCTGAGTGGTTTTAAAAAATTATCCCTATTATTGAATCTGATGGTAGAAAAATGCCTAATACCTTTCAGCAGTATAGATTAGGTGATCGTCCTTTAGGTACAAGTTGAAATGAAAAATCAAGCAAGTCACTATTCCACCGCTGAGACCCAATGCAACCTTCAAGATTTGCATTAATTTCTTATCAGAACTGTCAGATACCCAAACATATGGTGACGAGGGAATTTTGATGAAGTTGGATTTCAATAACCCTAGATCAAGAGTCCTCCAAAGCTGTGGATCGCAACAAGCCAAGCGCCATGAACTACAAACTCGGGAGATTCCTGAGGTCAACTCTATGATGTTGAATGATTTGAATATTTTAACCATTATATCAATTTCCATATCCTCCCATCTCCTCTCTGTTGATTCACCATCTTCCATGGATATCAACTTTGTAAATATCTGAGGTGAATCTTAGTGCATCATGGTGCCTGGACAAACCAAATAAAAGTTAGTTAAAAAAGGAACAGTGATGTTGTTTAGTGACTTATAAGTATAAAAAATAAAAGAGAAACAATATATTGGTAGGTTTGATGGAATCTGTTAGATCATCTTGTGCAGACCTGTTTGCTGTCTGCACAAATGTTTATCTCCTAGGTTTAATGAATAAGGTTATACCAACTCTGGCTTACCCTAAGAGATATTCATTAGAAAAATTCAGGAATCTAACATCCAGAAAAGAGAATGCAAGCTTCTAGATCAAGGAAGTGATGAATATTTGCAATGTGGTCAAGATCCTCATTAATTGGTCTGCATCAGGAACCATCTCAGTGGCCTCCTGGTCCATGGAGTTATCATTGATCCTTTCTAATACCAAGGCCACATTCTTCTCAAATAACTGATTTGCTACCACCACACCACTTTCTTCAAAACCATTCCCTTCAACTCCATCTGCCCTGCCATTGTTTTGAGTACCATAACTCTGTACATTAAAACAAACTGCCTCATGAGCTAAATTGTTGTTCTCCCTACCCTTCAGAGGACCACCAAAGCTTTCCTTGCAAATTCCTCCCTCTGATAAAAAACAAACCCAAGGATTTACTCACCTCCACCCAAGGATTTACTATCTTTGGCCTTCCACCTTCATTTTTACCCTCTAAAACCTTTGCTAATGGAACATGAACATAGTGGTTGCCAAATTGAAGGTTGAAGTGGAGCATGAACATAATGGTTGCAAGGTGTTTCAACATGTAGTGGTGATGGTCAGGTTCTTCAAAAGTCAGAGAGGCTACCGAATTTGGTTGGACAAGGAAGATGGTCGGACCTGTGGAGGGGCTGCACTAATACCCTCCAGAGAGGGATCAGGTCATCATAGTTCCAGCGACCTTCTCCAGTAGACGAGAAAGAGAGAGAGAATGTCATTAAGAGAGACTATATGTCCAAAAGTGAGGAGGGAGGGAGGAAGGGAGGGGGGGAGAGAAAGAGAGAGTACTCAGGTCCCCTTGTTGGATATGGGTACCCTTTATGTATATTTTCTCGATCCTTTTCTGAATGAAGAATCTTCTAGAACTATGCCATGCCATCCAAGGTGGCCAGCTGTCAGCCACTAGCTTGTGCTTATACTACTCCTATAATCTACTCTAGATTACTGCTTAGTAACTGTTAACAGCTGTTATTTTTTCCTATGTATAGTACCGCAGGGGTACTATTGTCTTTTTACTCCTTTTTATTTTAGTTGCTGTCACCCTAGTATATATATTAAAAAGGCTGCGCCGCCAGCAGTATCTTTTTGCTCTCAGTTCTCTCTTCTCTCTTCTCTCTTCTCTCTCTTTTCTCTCTTCTTCCATTCTTCTCTCCTGCATAACATGGTATCAGAGCAGGACTACCAGATCTAAAAGGAGAAGTCGATTGAACAGTTTTTTTTTCTTCTTCGCACCAGATTTCCAGATCTTCCGCCCTCATCTTCTGTTCGGCTGATTGAAGATCTCACACACTGAAGTAACTTTCCTCTCTCTCTCTTACCTTTTTTTTCTGGTTGTATGCCAGGGCAGAACCTGTACTAGGTCTGCCGATTGGATGTGAGGTGATCAGCACCTCTTTCTTTCCTTTTTTGTGGGGTCGACTGATCCCTGTGAAACTGTAGGTCGTGAGGACCTTTTTTTGTGCTGCAACAGCAGCTTTTATGGTGAACTGTGGGTCAGAAAGTGACCAGTACCTCTTGTGTGTTGCAACATCAGCTTTTATGGTGAACTGAAGGTCAGAAAGTGACCAGTACTTGCTGTAACAATAGTCCTGTTGATGCGTAGGTCAAGAGATGACCTGTATGCACTGTGGCAACACTTGTGTTGAGCTTGTAAGTCAAGGGATAACCTGTTAGTGCTGTAACAGCACCTGTAGCAACACTTTAAGACTGTGAACACCCATTTAAGAGTTGTTTCTGAATCTGAAATCATGAGTGGTGAAGATTCTGCTACATCCGGTGTTTCCTCAATGCTGAATAAAATGAATGGGGGTGTGGACCTATCATTTCCCATGGCTGTTATTCCTCTTGATGGTTTAAATTATTTAGAGTAGTCAAGAGGGATCAAATTGTACATCACTACAAGGGGAAATATAGGTTATATTAATGGGAGAATCAAAGAACCACATTCTGGGAGTGCTAAATATGACAGATGGAACCAGGAAAACAGCATGGTCATGTCTTGGCTTTTAGTTTCTATGCAACCTCAAATAAGAAGGAATTTCATGTGAGCTGAAACAGCAAATGAGATCTGGGAACAATCAAAATCAACATATTCAGAACTGCGATACTATGCAAAAATCTACCAGCTATAGGCAGAATCGTCTACTTGTAAACGGGGGGAGAGGTGTCTATCTGTGTACTACTCAAACTTGACCTTTGTCTGGAAGGAGTTAGATCATTATCAGAGTGTGGATTGGAAGTGTGATGAAGATGCAAAACTGTACAAAAAACTCATTTCCCAGCAGAGAGTGTTTGCTTTCTTACATGGTTTGAACCCTACATATGAATCTATCAGAGTCCAGATCCTAGGTAGCAAAGATCTTCCATCAGTTCAGGAAATTTATGCTATTGTACAATCAAAAGAAAGCAGAAGGAATTTGATGAACAGTTCTGGAAGAGATGCAGTTGTGTTGGCAACGAAAGGGAGTGTTACTACCGGTGGGGGAAATACTTCTAGGAAGGGGGATCTTCAGAAAAAGATGGATGACAAGGACAAATTGTGGTGTACTCATTGCTAGAAAACACACTATGGCAAACATGGCTACTCAGGAGAATCAGCCCCCCATTCATACTGTGACTCAGACACATTCATCTAGATCTTACCCAAGGGAGGATATTATAAATTCCTTCCGCGACCATTTAGAGCTCTATGGTAGAGCAATTCGTCAGATGCATGCTCCTCACTCAACTTCATTTGCGTTTACATCAGGTAACTCTACCACAGCTTTTCATGTTGCTTCTCATAACCCTGACACTCCCTGGATCATTGATTCTGGAGCGTCAAAACACATGACTGGTACGTCCCCTTACTTTCAAACCTATCACCTTCTTTCTGGAAGAGACAAGGTGAGACTAGCTGATGGATCATATACTACCATAGCTAGTCAATGAACCATATCTCTCCCTCTTGGCCTTACCCTCTCTGATGTTTTACATGTTCCGAAATTTCCCATTAATTTGTTCTCTGTTAGTAGTATTACTAATTCCTTATACTGCTCAGTGACCTTTTTCCCTTCTTATTATGTGATCCAGGATCTAGCCTCGGGGAGGCCGATTGGTAGAGGATGTATGGTTGATGGACTTAACATGCTGGAGAATAAGGCTGATCTTCAAGTCACAAAGTCTAAGAGTCAGTCTTGTAAGAGTTAAGTTTATTTATGGCATTGTCGTCTTGGTCATTTATCTTTTGAGTATTTGAAAGTGGTGTTTCCAGAATTGTTTAATTCAGTGTTCGTTTCAAATTTCTCTTGTCAAACTTGTCAATTGAGTAAGTAGTGTAGAACTCATTTTCTTTCAAAAAATAATAAATCTGGATTTCCTTTTCACATTGCTCATTCTGATGTGTGGGGCCCTATTACTTTACCATCTGAGAGTGGCTACAATTATTTTATTACCATTATCGATGATTATTCTAGATATACATGGGTATATCCCATGCGGACCAGGGATGAAGTACCAAAAATTATCCAAGATTTTCAGTAGATGGTCTTCACCCAATTTCAAACTGAAATCCAAATTTTTCAATCAGATAATGCCAAAGAGTATTTTCATAGTGATCTCACGGATTTTTTTGCGTCACATGGTTCACTTCACTGTAGCTCTTGTGCCCGAACACCACAACAAAATGGTGTTGCTGAAAGAAAGAATTGACACCTCCTTGAAGTGGCCCAGGGTTTACTACTCCATATGAATGTCCCAAAATGCTTTTGGCTTGAAACTGTCCTTTGTGCTACCTACCTCATCAACCGTATGCCCTCTCGTTGGTTAGAGTGCAAAGCCCCACATCAGCTTCTCTTTCCTAAGGCCCCCCTTCTTTCCATTCCTCCTCGTGTGTTTGGTTGTCGTTGCTTTGTCCAAAATTTGTCCCCCACTCGTAGAAAATTGGATCCTCGTGCTATTCTTTGCATATTCCTGGGGTACTCCTTCACTCAGAAGGGATACCGTTGTTTTGATCCTGTTTCTCGGAAATTCTATGTTTCCATGGATGTCTCTTTCTTTGAGAGTGAGCCTTTTTTCCCTGTTTCTCCTTAGGGGGAGAGTAGGAATGAAGAGAAACTGGTTCAGATCCCTCCTCTTCCTGATCCTCCTCCTTTTCGTGTCTTCTTTTGTCGTCACAAAAGCCAACCAAATTCAAGAGCTGTGGAGAATCCAGAAGTTGTACCTCCAATGCCATTAAACTCTTTGGGGGTGGATCATACTCACTCAGGTATCTTGGTTCCCATTGATGTCCCTGACCCCATTGCAATTGATACCTCTATTGCTAATGACCTTGACCTTCCTATTGCTCACAGGAAAGGTTTTAGATTGTGCACCACTAAACACCCCATTTCCCACTTTGTTTCCTATGAAAACATTTCACCCTCTTTTCGAGCCTTTCTCACATCCATTGATAGTGTCTCTATCCCTAAGAATGTGGCATAAGCTCTTTTAGTACCTGAATGGACAGATGCTATGAAGGAAGAAATTAATGMYCTWCATAAAAATGGCACATGGRAACTWGTAGATCTTCCTAAGGGAAAGGATCCAGTTGGATGTAAATGGGTGTTCACAGTCAAACATAGGGTTGATGGCACGGTGGAGAGGTATAAAGCTCGTTTAGTGGCAAAGGGGTTTACACAAGTGTAAGGAGTTGATTATGCAGAGACTTTTGCACCCATTGCCAAGATGAACTCCATTAGAGTTCTATTCTCTCTTGCTGCTAATCTTGACTGGGATCTACATCAGCTTGATATCAAGAATGCATTCTTG